GACCAGTCCTTAGACTAAGACTAACTCTTCTAAGAGCGAAATACAATTTTACCTTCCCGAGACCAACCCTAACAGTTGACCAAAAGTCAATGGGTAAAAAAGTCAAGGACAATTTTCGTTGACCTACGTGTTGTATACTCCACCTCTACGCATGGCATAAAGTCTTATTTCGGAATACGGGGTCCAACTAGGCTACGTGTTGCGTAACCTTTAGTATGCCCTACATACACCTCTTGATCCAACACTTCATTTTAATCACTTAATACATTAAGACCTTTTACTCAAAGCTCAAATATAATTCCTACTAGCTCCATAATGGATAAAGTTTCCAACTTTATCCATTAGGATGGTCCAAACAACCAAGATCTAGTCTTTAAGTCTCAAAGGGACCATAAATGCGTTTTCTCAACTTAATCCATTAACTATAAGTCTCCAACCTTTAGATTTGAATCGGTATGATGTCTAGATGGATAAAGTTCTCAACTTTATCCATAACAAAGTCACACACTTTCAAGATCCAAACTTTATACACTAAAATGACAAAAAAGTGGCAAATGTGACAAATGACTAGATCTAAGAAACCAATAAGTAAGTTAGAAGCTTTTTACTCACAATGGTCCAAGAATGATGTAATCTTGCTGGAGCTATACTTGAACTCTTCTTCAATACTCTTTGCCACCACCTTGCTATTCAAGATTCAACCTTCCAATGGAGAAATAAGATCATAAATGATGCCAAGGCTAAAAAAACAAGTGAGAGGAGGCTAGGGTTTCTCACTTAGGTGATGGAGGCTGGTAATGAGAGGGTTTCCCAAAAGTTAGAGCCCTTAAATAGGGATCGAAACCGAAGATTTAGGGTTTTGATCTGCCTAGATTATGCCCAACATAACTTAAATTATGGCCAACGTAATTCATTAAAACCCGTTACGCCCGGCGTAGCTTTTAGTTACGTCCAATGTAACCTAAAAGCTCCCAATTTTTCCTTCAACTTTAAACAGCCATAACTTCTTCGTTTCAACTCCATTTTCGATGTTCTTTATATGTACAAAAAGGTATTGAAGAGACTCACAATCATATCTAATTACTTTTTAGCTAAAACATACTGAACTAAAATCCTTATTCCATGAAAGTAGCCTGAAATATCACTTTTCCAATTTTACCCTTTGACTCCAAAACACAACCAAGGGTTTGGATCTCATAATCAATATTATCAACACACAATATGGTCTAAACCATATTCCCTTGAAGCCCAAGTCCTTTACTTGATCCATTTATTGTCCACGATCCCGAAATAAGAAATTTCTCGAAACAAGATGTTACAATTAAGAAGCTTCTTAATAACTTCCACGGTAACTGGCAGGGGATCCCCCTAGGCATGGAAGTATTTTTGTCCCATTGTGCATCTACTCCGTTTCTAGTAGAACCATTCTGTAATCATAAACCACTTAAACCACTTAATAAGAATATGCTGATTTATTCTATTTAACAATTAAAATTCATAAAAGTATTCAAGGAAAAGACACTAAAACACTCTGATTCTTCCTTTTTTCTCGCATAGTTTAAGGCTAGGTAAGGACAAGCCAACCTAATTCGCTTAAACGATGGCTCTTATACCAATTGTAATGACCCATAATTTTCATAAACATTTTCCATTACATTTATGGGAAAATATCAGAGTTTACATGCATCATACCAAAGTCCATAGTTTAAAAAAAAATCTTTTAAAAGTAATCCCAAATACAACAACTAGTTTTACCAATTCATATCTTAATCATAAGTGAAGAAAACAAGGATAAACATTGAAAAAAAAGCCCAGTCCTGTGTCTTTGTTGCTACTAAGTCCTCACACTCTATGTCTTGCTACCAAAATCTATAAACACATGGAAACAATATTTGTCCGACTATAAGTCTGGTGAGTTATAACATAACATAAATGCAACATAATCATACAAAACTTATCTGGCTTGTCACATAACTAACCAAGCATCTACACATATACCAAGTGATAAACAACCAGTCATCATCATCTTTGTTTCAATGCAAAACTCTAGTCATAATTTTTCCTAAGGATCCCTTACTCTAACTCTTTGCATGCATGTGCATACACATAATAAAACATACCACAAGTTATTTATCATAACGAAATCTAACAATGATGTAATCAACAATTACATCTATACATTCACATGCTTGCACATGCTGTATATCACATATTTATACTCTAAAGGGAAAGTATAACCCACCTATTGTTATGGAATAGAAAACTACTTCCAACTTCTCGAAAGCTTCTCTTGAGAGGTTCCAAATCCTTCCTTGATACGACCTATAACATTCGCATACATTAAGCCTCTTACATATGTCTTAATCCATTAAGACATTACAAGTGATTTTAGACAAAAACATATTTTGGATAAAACCCCTAACTTGACTATCTTTTGTCAAAATGCTTTTCAAACTACTCCAATCAAACAACTAAACACTTAACCTAATTAGATTATAACATATAAACACCTTCTTCATCATCTCCATTCCTAGGGTTTCAAACCCTAAATTAAATCATGGAATACAACCATTAAAACTTCATATAAACCAATGGTTAAGCTCTAAAACACTAAATCAAGCATTAATACCAAGTTATCATGATGAAATCTAGCATAATAACCACAAACTCGAAATCTACCATTAAAGCTACAAAAAGCTTAAAAATGGAGAAAACAACTTCCATAAGAGTTTGAGATGAACTTTCCTAGTCCAAATAAAGTTAAGTCGACCTTTGATGTCTTTTAGAACTCAAGAGATTCGGACCTCATCTCTCAAGGGTTTGGTGAGGAATTTTCAACAAATGAGCTCTAACTCGGAATTTATCACTACTCGAAACCGCGTCGTAACGAATACCTCATCGCGCCACAGTGGGTTAAATGATACCATGGTATTCCTTTTGCTACGTTGTGGCGACTATTCTTCATAGCAACCTATTTTTCCCCCCACGTTGTGCCACCCATATACTACACCGCATAGCCAAAGTACGTTGCCTACGACTTACGACAAAGAAAGTCCCAAATCACAGCCTCTCTCACCTCGTCGTGTAAGCGTCTCACCGCACTGTGATGAGGCTGGAAACAACATTTTCATTCCTTTTTCAATTCCTTTCAAACCCAAACTCATATCTTTCAGTTCTGTTCCATTCTTAAACCAATATAAGACATTCTTATAACTTCAAAACACAAGGCAAATGCATAGAACATATCAAAAGTATTTCACAGATCTAAATATCATCAAAAGGAGCAAAATGCCCATGACATCAAAACGAAAATCCACATCATAATTATCCCAATAATCCGGTTCTAACATATCTTCACCGACGGGAATGAATAGTAGCTCATGAAGAAGCGCATATCCATTTTTCCGCTTTTAAGCAATGTCAGGACCTCCTATAGCTCCGGGGCCGATTCTCATATCAAAACCTTCGTCAAATGAACTGTTGTTGCTCCGCCCCCCACTCCTTTTACTTTTTTTTAATGAGTTATTAGATTTGTAAAACAACCAATGTCTTCGGTTATGATAATGAATTTTGAACAATTTTCATAAGCAACTTTTGGAAGTCTTAGTTTGCGTTTACATATGTTGAATCAAGCTTGTAAAAGATGGGATTTCGGTTTCCAACCATGATCTCTAGCCGATCTTTGTTAGGGGGTTGTGCTCTCGCATAACAACATTGGGAAAGAGTTGGTGATGATCGGAGCATGAAACATGGTTGGGGTAAGTCGGTGTATATGTGGATGTGTGTTTATGTGTCCCCTTCTACAGTTTGAGTTCTTCAATTTTGACTATTGTAAATAACATTGTGAGCCACATCATCTTCAATTGATTGTTTGGCACATAGAACCGATTATTTCAAGTTAAGAGGAACAAATAAACATGTCGACATAACTTTATACTCCTATAAAGCAAAAAAACAAAAACAAAAACAAAAAAAAAACAAAAACATGAGTGACCATTTAACCATTTCGAGAAAGTTTGTTGGGCATCAGTGACATTATCCTTAAATTTTAAGCATAAGACGAGATTATTAGCACAAAAACATGTCACAGTATCATCTCATGTGTAATATGCTGTGTTTTTGGCAAAAGAGATCAATATGTCTTGGTAAAAATAGATCCAACCCACTATTGGATAAATTTCAAACACAAATGTTTCGAATAACTTTTCAGGTCAACAAAACACGAAGACAAAAGGCACCTTCATTTCCATTAGAAAACATAAAAAGCAACTGAAAACAAGACTGCTTAGAATCACAGAGCTGTAGAGATGACCAAAGGCCGGATGAGCCACAATGGTACTTCCTACTAATTTACTATAATGATTTTAACCTGACTTTGGAGACAACTTGAGACGAACATATGTTTTTATGAATTATGACTGAAAATTAGTTTATTCTCAAATATGCAAATTCCAGATAATCTCTTTTTATCTTAAGTAGAAGACACAAGAACAGTAACAATCAAAAGGGCATACCTTTATATGTCTTTTTTCTTTTTAAAAACTCAGTCTCATTCATATATCTCGCTAGCATAATCATCCTCCTCAGAAATGCTAGGAGTTGTCAGAACTTATATTGTCCCTTACGCTCACATTAATTATTGATAGCTAAGATTTCTTAAGTGTGCTAATGCTTCAATTTCTTCTAATTTGGATATGATACATTCTTTTAAATTGGCCCCAAGGTGGTTCTGAAATATTGTAACTCTTTGTATTTCATTCCATCGATGAAAACATTTTGCAGACAAGCTTGAAACAATTAAGTTTTGCTGTTATTTATTTATGTGATGAGAAAAGGACATGATCTCAATGATACAAAAATATCTTAGGGGCCTTCAGGTACACCAGATAGTCTATGAGATAATGCTCTAAAGTGAACTTGGTCATCTCATGAGAGAAAAAAAAACTAAATATTTGACAATGATTTCACATAATCAAAACATGAATTATTTATCATAATAACACTATCAAAACAAGTTATGGATGCAGTGTATGGGGATTTTAGCATATCAGTTTAGTTACTCTTAAACTGCAAATTGGTTGTGATGATATCTGTTGGGTACAAAAAGCATCATATAAAATATTTATCGAAAGAGGCATATAACTTTATAGCGAGCATCTTTGTCATTTAGATTGAAGATGTTATCTTCCCAAAAGAAATCGCTGTATAGGGAGCATTTTATTATATTATTAGCTTTAAACCAGAGACATCTCCACTAGTGACTTCCATGATTTGTAATTAACTCAAGGCATCTTCTCCCATTTTTTCATCATCTTACACCTCTTGATTTTTTTCAAACTCCATAATTCTCCACCAATACCTCTTTCGGAACTTGATCATCCCATCTATTTCTGGGTTGGATAGATGTGGTGATCCCACACCTCCTTTTCAACAATATGATTATCAGCTTCAGAACAGTTGAGATTAAAATCTTCAACGATCCAAGCAACCATATGTTTCTTGACCATGACCATGACCATGACCAATTCAGCTGTTGAAATATAGATAATCAAAACAAAACATGTTACATACAAGCAGTACAAATATTTCAGCGAGTTGCCTTAACGCAATATAGAAGAAGAAAAAAGACTGAAGTATAATTAGCTTTAAAGTTCACCTTTTGGCTCTTCCAAACTTTTTGCAGGTTCCTGTAACAAATATCAAGAGTTTTCAACTTTAATGATTAAAGTGTGTGACCAAGTATATAGAAAGTTCTAGGTGTGAAAAAGTATACCTCACATGTGTGATCACATATGTCGGACTATCTTTGGGATAAAGCTCTAAAGCAACCTTTCTTTTCTGATGATTGATGAAAACAGATAAGAATTAATACATTAACTACTATTCACATAAATCCACTTAGACAAAGCAGTTGTATTGGGTCTTGTTCTAGATCCGATCAGGTATATTTATGTGATTCGGTATATCATAAAACTTGATTAAGGGAACCAACCAATCGATCCATTTAGACAGATCCGTCCGGTCGATTCGTTGAACATAAACTTTGAATTTTATTTTTCATATCCTACAAAAAGAAACTTTTTTTTTTTGGAATTCAATAAACTAATAATAAACAGGTAGACTTTGGTCATGATCAATATATTAAAAATAATTAGGTTAATGATCAATCTATTTAATAGTTCAGATCATTTTGGTACTAGATCCAGTTCAACCGAATTCATGGACAACCTATTCGTAGCATATATATATTGGTAGTGGATATTGCTGTTATGTAAGGAGAAAAGTATTCCTCCTTGAATAAAATCCAGGTCTGATATTAGTAAACAATGTTGGTTGTATAATGTTCTTGGTTACAAATACTACTATACTAGATAATAAGTAATACATAAGAGACAACAAAATACTATCTAATAAGAATATATAATATTTACCTTTATATCTGGGGCTGTCTTTTTTTACAACATCACGATAAAATGGAACCATTCCAGTGCCACCATGCCACAGATGTCGCCTGCTGCTTAGGTAGTATTCTCCTGTTGTTGCTTGAAAAGAAGAGAGATCTCCACCAATGATGTGATTCCATGACTTATAATAACCCAACACATCTTCTTCTTCTTCTTCATCCTTATTTCCATCATCAAACACAAAACTCACCCCACACTCCTCTGTAAGTTGTTCTACTTCTTCTGTTACAGTAGTAATAGTAACCTGATCTCCACCTTCCATTTCATTCATCCCAAACATCCAGTGGCTTAACAATATCACACACCCTTCACCTACATTGACTCTGTAAGCATAATGATTGTATATCCAGGTGCAGTTCTTCGTTAGATTACTAATTGTGATCATTGGCAAAAGTATGAACTGGTCATATGGAAATGGAAACGTGTACACGTAGCAGAAGTTCAATCCTCTAAGATTGTTAGGAGATGATGGGATAGTAAATGACAGTGATGGCCCCTTGCTTCTACAACTAATCCAATTCGGCATCTCTTTTCCCCCATAAATGGTGCTGAATATTCCAAATTCATAATACATCTGCAAAACACAACCACCTTAATTAGTCACTATAATATATATACAAAAGCACACACACACACACACACACATAGCTAACAAGATCCAAACCTGGATTTCAGATTCCTCTGATCCTCTACCCCGAAAATAAGTTCCTACACGCATTATGTTAAGGAAATCTAGATTAGTCCAGCCCAAACTACATAATACCTTTTCTTCAACACCAACCATTGGTTGGATTTTAACCATGCCTTGAATTTCAATTGACGAAAGTGCTAAATGATCTGAAAGCATCGACAACTTGAGTGGTAACATTTTTAAATCAAAAACAACTTTTCTTAGCAAAGTTTTAGAGCTAAAACCGAGGTCCAACTCTTTTATTGTATATGGAGGATGCTCCACTGATGTTAACAATTTGCACTCACTCATACTAAGCATCTCAAGTCTAGGAAGACTTCTCACACAATTAGGAAGGGAAACTATAGGATTGCCATCTAAATTTAAATCCTTCAACATAAATAGCCAACTGAAGTCCAGGGGAAAGGATTCAGTGGAAAAATTATTATTTGCAAGTGACAACCTTACTAAAGAGCTCGGTAGAGAAACCGCAAAGAACTTCAAATCACTTGGTATAGCTTCCACAACGGAGGAGGAAGAGGATTTAGCCTTGACTATTTCTCGTGAATCCATATCCATAATCTCCATTTGAGATTCACCGAGATTACAACCCTATAGCAATAGTGTTGTAACCTTCTTTAGCATATTTATCGTTTTTGGAAGTTTTTCAAGGTTGTTGCAGTAGCTGAGATCAATGAGGAAGAGTTCAACACATGCTTCGATTGATTCACAAACCTCAAGCAAACCAATGCAATTTGTAACTATTAACCTCTCAAGTGCCGGGAGTTCCTCAAAGCCTCCCAAACTACGAAGCTCTTCACAAAAACTTAAATTAAGAATCTTTAATGATCCAAGCAACCTTTTGTCTTTTAAGCATGATTCAGTCAACTGCTGAAATGGGAATAAGTTAGAGTATTAGTACATTTATCAACTTGGCATTGAAAAATAATAGATGCTGATAAGTTACCTTTTGCCTCTTCTCGGCTCTTTGTGGATTACTATCATAAATGCCAAATGATTCAATATTGCTATATGACATGTCGAGAACAACCAGATTTTCCATCGGGTAGTCTAAAGGCAAAGAATTTAAAGGGAACCCATGCATGCACAACCATCTCAGTTCTTCTGGAAAATTCTCGTAAGACCCACTGATATTCAGATAATTGAGTTGGAGTAGCCTCAAGTTATCCATGTTACTCAATGCATCTGTTTTCAGCACAAACGATGCACGCAACGTCTCTTTCTCAAGCATTCTCATGTCAAGTGCAAGGCCTAGAAGATTTCCCTTATCCTAAGATAAAAAAAATGTCAAAAGAAAAATTAAAATGCTAGACAAGGCGTCTTAAAAATACTTTAAAAAATAAAAAATACTTTAAACATGCATACAGGGCCTCTTACCTTTTTTTGTTTCAACACTTTGAATGACTCCTCATGACACCACAATCGACTTCGCTTCCATGGCTTGTCAGGCGATTCTTGATGTACTATGAATCTTCCTGTCTCTTGAAGCAACTGATGCATCTTGAATTCATTATTCCATCCGATACTAAGAAGGCATCTATCAATGAGATTCGGGATCCCAGATCTTGTGTTCATACGACATGCCGTTAATATTGTTTCAGTAATATCTCTATCCATCCCAACAAAAAAACATGCAATATGCTTAAACAAATCCCGATCATTTTTGGATGGCAAAGAGTCAAAGCTCATTCTCAATACATTTCTTATACGAGAACTGATTTCTTTCTTTAGCCCTTCTATGCACCCTTCCCAATAAGCTACATCCCAATTATGTAGTAACTTACCCAAAACTTCAAGAGCCAACGGATGTCCTTCACAATACTTCACAAGCTTTTCTAACACCTCTTCATAACCAACCTTGGGATCGTTGCACATGAATGCATGAAAACACAAAAGATTTTGTGATTCATTCTCACATAAGCCTTCAAGCAAGTGCTTTGCATGCATGGGCTTACCAACTGTTTTGAATAGTGCACAACTCTCTGTTACCCAAGCGTCTTTGGTTGTTATTATGATTTTGCTTCCTGGATGAAAAGGTTTGCTTCCAAGTAATGCGTCCAACTGGTCGAGACTATCAATATCATCAAGTACTATAAAAAACCTTTTTACGAGCGACTGCATTCTCTATCTTTAAGGTGTATATAGGAACATCATGAACTTGAATCGAACTTTTCTTTGAAATGCCATCATAGAGTTGTTTTTGTAAATCAAGCAATCCATTAAATTTTTCACCACACCTCCTACTGATATCTTCAATAAAGCTACTTGTGTCGAATTCATGAGAATGTAACGCATAAACATATTTGGCTAAAGACGTCTTCCCGATCCCACCCATACCTAAAATAGTGAGAACGTATGTCGTATGTAAGGATGCATCTTTCAACCATGAAGTGACGAATTTGATGGAAGTGTCCATCCCAAAAAGTTGTTGCAAAGGAATCCTTGAGGATATACATAATCTACGGTAGATGTCTTTAACAATTTCTTCAATGAACTCAGTCTCTGGCCTGAAACATTATTTTAATAAGAACTACAAAACTAACAAACCGGATTCAGAGATTCAATTTACCCAAAGACCCACGTAAAAATTATATTATATTAAGCTATTATGTTTAACTAATTTTTTTCGCATCAAAAGTATATTATATTTTCAGTTCTAACCATGTAACCATCTAATGAATGAGGTCATAATTTGTATGTATAATAAGACCAGAGCAAACAATGTAGAAAATAGTAAGTACATTGCTACTGTGGGTAAACACTGAAGTACATTGCCAGTAAATCCCCCATATTGGTAAAAACAGGAAAAGTATGTTGCTATATCCCAAAATTTGCCCAATATAACTGCAAAAAGTTATCAGGATGTATAATCTTATGTATACGGATTAATTGGATCACATTATTGTAAAGTTCGATCTAAATTTAGGCGTCTTCTTTATCCAACTTAAACATATTTAGTTTATGTTTTTTTGATGATTCTAAAGAAGCTTATTGAAATACACAAAGAAAAGATAATATTGATTTTTCATTATGCTAATCAAACAAAATTGGAGTATGGAAATATAGGCAAGAAAGTGGTTACCTGCCATTTGCATTCTCCCCTTTTAAATTAGAAACTTCAGTAAGTGCTTTAATCCATCGTCAATCTTTTGAGCCAAATGACTTCTTTTATTTTCATTTATCTCTGCCTCCATCTTCACTTTGTGTTCAGCCATTGAAAGTCCAAAGGTACTTTCTTGTTTTCTAATATGGGTGGGCTCCACATGATAGAAGATAGGGATAACAATTTGGTTGGATGTCATTCGTTGCTCAAGGATGAGCACCAATTCATCAAGGCACCATGAAGAATTAGCATAATTCTGGGACAACACAATAATAGAAGCCCTAGATGCTTTAATTGCACTCTCCAATTCCGGTTTCAGATCTCCTCCGGTTTCAATCTCTTCATCATCTAAAAAGGTGGAGATATTGGCATCAAGGAGGGCCTTATGGAGATGATCAGTGAAACCATATCGAGTATCAACACCCCGAAAACTTAAGAATACATCATATTTATGATCTTTAGAAGATGAAGAAGATGATAGTTCGATATATTCAGAAAGAACAACCATTATGGGTGATGGGAAGGGATGAGCAACTTGAGACGAGACTACAATCACGTTAAGTAAGTAGTCGCTTATATATAGGAATCCAAAGTCAACTACTTTTGATAAAAGTCATATCTTTGCTGACTTTTCTTGTAAACAAAAGAGTCATACATTGTGGACTTTTCTTCTAATTATAATAACTATTTTTTTCAGACCCGAATATGTAAAAAGATAATGCTTGAATCTTTATTCCTGTCCACAGATTTCGATCAAGTACTTTAATAAGTATAAAACTACAAAAATCGGGAGTGTGGATGTCACTTTTTATGGATAAGGTGCACTAGTTTCATTTTTAGCATTATCATCCCTAAAACATAGTTTCAGTTTGTTTAGTACCTATAACAATCAAAACTGATGTGCTTGATATCATTCATATTTTCTTTAACAACTCATCAATGGATATTAAAGCTCAAAGAAAGGAGAAGATTGAAGTTTGAACAACATACAAAAAAACTCTGAATAAATATTTCATAAGTAAAATGATATGAAAAGTAAGGGTCCTGTTATGAAGCTTATGGGATTTGGATCGTGAAATTCAATTGGGAAAGAGCGAAGAAACAAACCCAAAGCGATTATAAAATATTTACTCTGAGTTTTTTTGAATCGCAACATAACATACCAAAAACCTAATCGCTAAAAAGAAATTCAGAATCCGATTGTGAAATTGGATGGGAAGACAAGAAACAAACCGAAAGCGATTATGGTGTCAACCCATCTAGTTCTGGTACGAAGCCCTCTATCTCTATGTCACTGGAAACCGATTGCATTGTCTCTTCCATGACAAATCAAAGCTCTGATACTTGTTTTTTGTTAATAATTAATAAAGAATGTTTGTTTTACTGTTTTGGGACAACGACAGTCAGATGGAGAGGATAGTAACCTAGTAGCAAAACAAAGGAGGGCGATGGTGGAGAAGTCATGTTGGAAAGCAACGGAGGAGGAGGGCGCTGGGGCTTGCGGTGGTCAACGAGGAGTGAAACAGTGGACCAGTGGTAGGAGTTGCAGAAGTGGAGGGATTAAAACGCGATTAAAATTGTTTTAGGAATGGAGACAAAAAGTTAAAATTGTTGGATTATTCATAAAGGTATTCAACTTAAGGGAGGATTTTTGTAATTTATTTTTGGATAAATGAATTATTGTTTAAATATCATTGTTAATAAAACAAAACCAAGTCCAAAAAAAAACACAAAGTAATAAAAGACGATATTTTTTTATGCATTGCATGAAAATAAATTTTGAATATGCTTGCAATGAATAAAGTAAATTGGTTTGGAAAATGGTTTGAGCGTCCTTATTTTGTAGCGAATAATCTCATATCTTGGACAATCTATCAATGAAAGATTTTCATTGTCTAACAGGGTTTGGTTTGAACAGATATATTGGATAGGGTATTTTTATAAGTTTGGAGATTCTATGTGGTGCAAATGTGCAATCTTGGTGTGTATTGAAGCTATATCAGTTTAGTGTCTATTATGATTATGTTCAATTGTAAGGGTTTTTTTGTTAAAGTTTGCATAGGTTTATATGGGGTTGTTTAGTTCGGTTTGTGTTAGGTCGGATCATTAAGCGTTTGTGTATTAGGTGCTATTTGTTTAATCGAAGCAAAAATTCTTGAAGTATGTGGACCATATCTACAACCCTCAGCAACAGATGATGTGGACCAAACGATTGCAGCCTGTTTGTTTTTTAACATCTACAGGTTGTTGTAAAAAATGAAATTTAAATAAACTGATTTGACAAACTTAAATGTAAATCAAATTTTATACTCCAAAGTCAAAGCATCAACAATTAAGGTCTTTTTTCATCTCCTCGTGAACAATAACATACAAAGTAACAATAATAAGTTTACATATAATTAAACATCAAGCCACATATCATTCATTACTAACAATCTACTTTCAACTAACAATGACCAAGGTTTAACCTAATTAAACATCAAACAATACCATTAGATTAATAGCAACATACTTTCAACTTGAATTAAAAAACTAGCAATAATAAGCAAAAAAAACGAGGCTGCTTAGATTCATGTATCATTCTAATTAATTAGAATAATGTAAAATCCTAGCAACAAATGCACATATAGACAAATTACTGATCCGGGCCCTATTGCAATAATTCGTTTGATGGTGTTTCGCAAAACTATTTCTAAAACCGAAATCACCTAACCATCTCCAAGTATCATCAAATTATTGTGTGATTAACTGATTTTGATTCAGAAGTAGGAATAATCAGATTATTAATTATGATAATTTTATCCTAAAAGTAAAATTACCTAATGTATTTGACCAAAACGATTATGCCACAAAATGGCATTGGAAGTGAGATTAGAACTTGTTAGAAAAGAATGAGAGTCATTAAAAGACTTGAATACAAATACACTATATAACAAATTACTACTAAACTCAATAGGATCAAGGGCATAAAGATCATTTATTCTTTTGCCAATCATTCCAAAAGCAAGATTATGCTTTTGCGAAGGGTCCTGCAAAAGACATGTGTCATCAGTGAAAAGAGTGAAGGTTTGCAAATGAGATGATAATTTGGAAACTGAAATCAAATTATACTTTCAAATCTTCAACATATAGAACTCCATGTAAAATGAGAGAATCATGTAATTTGACATCACCAAAGAATGAAACTGAAATGTGATGACCATTAGGCATGCCAATCGAATAAGTGATATAGTTGAAGTTTAGAAGAGGATTCATAGACTTTGACAACAAAATTCTTAAATGAAAAGAATTGCCATCAGGATTCATTGATTTTTCACAAATGGAAGAATTGGCTTGGCTGGTGTTTGGTTGCATGGAGTGATTGTTGAGCATTTGCATAGTTGTTGAAACTTCTCTTCACTGATAGACCCAGAAGTATTTGTGATCACATCTTGAGTACGGGATTTGGTTCTTCTTTTCTTTTCTTTGTGAATTTGAAGGTGGATGGAAATTGCAAGTTTTCTTATAGTGAGCACATGTAAGAGATTTATTTGAAGAATGAAATTTTGAGTCTGTAATAGCACCCATAGCAATTACATCATTGTTGATTGCACGCGAAGTATGAATATCTCGTTGTCTTTCTTCTTGGATGATCAATGAATAAGTAGTGGACAAACATGGCAAAGGCTTCATCATCAAGATTTGACCTCTTGTAATTTTGTAAGATTCATTCAATCCCATAAGTAATCGAATGAGTCTTTGATCTTCGAGATATTTTTGGATTTTACTAGAAGCACCACAAGAACAAGTACGAATCTCTTAAACAACATGTAATTCATCCCAAATTTTTGTTAATTTGGTAAAGTAGGTTGAGAATTCATCAGAATTTTGAGAAATCGAATACAACTGTTGTTTGATAAATGAGAGCACTGTTTGATTGTTCATACCTCTATGTAACTCGGACCAAATTTCTTTCGCAGTTTGGAGAAATAGAACACTCTCTGCGATTTCCTCGTGAAGAGAGTTGAGAAGCCAGCTAATCACCATAGAATTAACACGAGACCACTTTGGAAACATAGGGGAGTTTTCTGATGGTGGAGGAAGAGATCCATCAACAAATTGAAGCTTGTTCTTTGCTGATAGAGACAAAACCATAGATCGTTTCCAAGTAGAAAATCTAACTCCAGTGAAAACGATAGAAACAAGAACTACACTAGAGAGAGAGAGAGAGATAGAGATAGAGAGAGAGAGAGGGAGGGAGGGAGGGAGGGAGGGAGGGGGAGAGAGAGAGAGAGAGAGAGAGACCATATTTACTATTAATAAATCATTAAATTAATAGAAAAAAATATATAAAAAAAGTATCAGAAAGGCATGTTAGTCTTTTCAGTTTATTGAATGACCAAAACCACAATCAAAGGTTCTCAAAAGAACTACCAATCCAAAAAAATCATGGTTTGGATTAAAACCCGGAAAAATGCATACCATGAGGAATACTTTTGCAGTTTTGTCTAAATTAAATTATATTGTTTAGATTTTTATAAAGCGACTGCTAATTTGGTAATAAACCAATTATGAAAATTTATTTTTGCTGCAAAATTGTTTTTTTAACATCTTCATCAAAAAATTTATGAAATCCAATATTGTGAAATTGTTCATAACAAAAATTATATCTTTTGTTACAAAAAAAATTATTTGTTGTAGGTACCTTCAAAAAACAATTTAATGTTAAAAAAGAAAAAGTCAATTCATTGATCTACTTAACATTTTTTGAAAATAATGATGTCTAAAATAGTGTCTACGGGTCAATTTCATTCGGAAAGTTCAAATCTCACCGTGGACCCACTACAAGATTGGTCATATGAAAGTCATTTTGTTAAAAATACGTACTCCCCCATTTTAACTATGTGTTTTTTTTTTGCATATAAACAGCAGGATAACATTAGACAAATTTAATACTCAATCATATCATATGCAAGGACCATCTTAAATGTTGTAATTTTTAAGCATCTATTGCCAGGTTGTATCTCCTTTATAAAGAATGGTTTGGATGTCAAAAAGTATACCTCACACATGTCACCAAGTGTGTGGGACTTTCTTCGGGATAAAGCTCTAAAATAGAGGTCCTATTTACGTTTACACTAGGACAATTAATTTTATTAATTCAATTTAGATCTCATCAGATATATTCATGTGATCCAACTTACCCGGCATATCGACCCATTTAGACAGATCAATGATTGGCTCAATCATTATATATCTCCACTATGTTTTTTGCACACAAAAAATAGATGAAAAGTAGTACACAAGAAAACAATAAAAAAAAAAACAAAAGAAAATAGTCAATGAAGATACGTTGATGCTGTCACAAAGGAGAAAGATCTCCACACACTCAATCCACATTCTTTTGGTAACTTGTATGCCTAATCCAATTTGGAAAGAAACTTTGAATATGTCAAATACACCACTAATCTACTTAAAAATAAACTTTGAATTTTAGAAATATCTAGCCTTAATTTAATGTATTTTGTCATAATTAAAAGATATCTTTTACGATTTCACCAAACTACTCGAAAGAAATTTGCACTTTTGGGAAAATAGAAATCTTTTCATTTTTATGAAGAGTACCAAACTCATTGGAATCAAAATAAATAGAAACATATGAATTCAATTGGACTCAAAATCTTTTGTAATTATGGAGGATTCTTAGACATAATTGCAAATCACTCGTATCATTTGAACACTAAATTGCACTTAATTCTGATAATTTTTGTATAAATATCTTCACCACCAACTCTTCAAATGGCCTTCCGTGTGACAATGTTCATGAATATGCAATTTCTACTAATGCTCTTTGTTCTTAGCCTTCTAGTCATCTGTGAGTTACTCTATTAATACTTTGAGTATTTGAATATATATTTAAGTAACCCGGTCCCGGTTTGAAGACTTAATATAAATTCAGTCCAAAAAGAAAATATACTCTGAAAAAGATTTATATAGGTGTTATATCACCTATTAGTCGTCTTCTATATTCTTTGTAAAATTTATAAATTGTTGACCATGACTCTTTTAAATCATAATTTTTGGAAATGCATTATACAAACATTGTATTTTTTGTAACGAGTTCATGTATGCAGTTATTGATGGGAGCAACGATGGCAAGAGCACCTTTGAAGTTGCAATGATGAAGACTGATTCTGGTAAATTAATCCCACCACCATCTACTTTAGAGTCTCATAACCAATTTAATGATAACAAGTTGAGAGGTGTTTGTATACCAAGTCCATCATCAACATGCCGTGACACAAAAGCAGCAGGTTGTTATTGTTGTATTGGGCCAGCGGTAGATATATGCATACCAGGCTTAGATTTATGTCAAGCTATATGTTCTTAGAAGACGTGTTATAAATTTCATTATATGAGCATTTTGTCTTTGTATCCAGCATTATATATATTTAAATGAGCATTTTTACTTTGTGTCCTTGGACTCCTTTATCTTTTCTTTAACAACTCATGAATAAAACTTAAAACATAATGCAAGCAGAATATCAAGCAACATAAAGAGAACTCCCAAAAAAATGATGTTAAAATTGAGAGACCCATATTAGGAACCTTTGAGATCAAAATTTTCCCATAGACAAAATCAGCAAGAATTCTCCAAATTTCAGTCATAAACCATTAGTCAATCATATATCCAAAGTATCATAATCAAACCCATCTCTGAGCCTGTAAATATTTCCATATCTTGAAATATGAGATTTAAGAATACGAAAATTGCATAAAAAACCAAAACTAGTGTTTATTGTATTATCGTACCACTGACTGTAACCAGGCTCCAAGAAATAACTCAACGACTAAATCCACACCCCCATATTGGTTCCTGCACCAGATACCAAAAATCGCTAAAAAGAATTTAGCAAAAAAAAAAAAAAAAAACAAAAAAAACAGATGACAGAACAAACAAAATCAAAAACCAAACCCGAGACAGATTGAGAAAAAGTCAATTGATGCATGGAAGTACCAAAACAAAATAGGACCCATGATTAGAATTAAAAATCAAATTTGTGATACTGATTTATAGTGTTAAAGAATGCTTGCCTGATGCCTCATTGTATTGGGTGATTGTAGAAACGCCATGCTCTCGGTGGGGCAAACAAGGAGGAGGGGGCGATGGAGACATGGAGTCATCGGCTGTAAACGAAGAGGGCCACAAAGAAGGGCAGGGGTCAACGTGGAGGCCACAGAATGGATCGAATAACGATGGATTTGCTGAAGTGGGGGGCTAAAACGTGACTAAAAGTAGTCTAAAGGATGGAAAAGACATAAATTTAAAACTAATGGACCATAATCATAAAAAGGTAATAGCTACATAGACAATTAGACTGTTGGGTATTTTTTAGTACAATGAAGACAAAACTACAAAAACGGTAAATGTGGTATTCATTTTTATTTTTTTGTTTTAGTTTAATCACAATTTTTTTGGATTATTTGTGCTTTTGAGCAACTTTGATTATGGTATTCGCCCCACTAAATTGAAAAGACTAAAAATACCATTTTGATACTTTTTTTATATATTTTTTCTGTTTAATTTAAAGATTTAGTAATAATAAATGTGCTCTCTCTCTCTCTCTCTCTCTCTCTCTCTCAACCAACATCGTATAGCCACCTTTCTTTCCTCTTTCTTATTCATGTAAAAACAACATTAAAACCCTAGAAAACCATTATTGTTGACAACATGATTTCTTGACCCCAACTCAATCCTTTTCCCCTTTTCCTGATGTCGTCGATTTTTGAGTGTAAAGGGTAAGCACAAACAAGTTGAGGGACCAATGAGATGATGGGTGCAGCCAATTGAATCAAAGTCTAAATCTTAATCCAAACCTCGTCTTCATCTCCAATTTGCCCCAAATGAAGATGGATTAACCATATGAAGATGGTTTGGATCAATTTATGTTTTTTCATGACTCTTTTTTCTTTTCTGAAACTGCTAAAATATATTAGTTTCCCCTAAAGAAGATGGATTCATCATTGAAAAATCCATCGATTTTGGAGCTTCACCGGAATGAAAATGGATTCACCTGAATCGGAGCTTCACTGGACATGATCACCATCCCGCTTCCACTTCTCGCCAAGGGCATCAACACTTGGATTCTTCTTCAATTTATGAAGGGCATCAACACTTCGATTCTTCTTCAGGTTCTTCGACTGAACCCACTATGCTGCTTTTATGTTTAATCTCTAATTCTTACAAAAACTATAATCCGACCTCTATGGTAATTGAAAATTGATTTTGGTGATCGTAATTTGGCTTGGAGATTCACTTACATGTGAGTGATTGTTCTTCCTTGAAGTGATTGTTCTTCCTTGGAGATTTATTTAAAATCCGTACTCATGATCGATTGTTATTCCTTAGCGATGAATATATATCCACAAATCAGTTTCTAGAAACAAAAACCACACATACAAATTGATTCCATACTTGTTTTATGGTTTTTTTAGTTCACAAATAAATGATGAAGAACAAACGGTATCATATTTATTTTCTGTTTTTTTTGGTGTTCTAGATTTAGTTTCGTTATTATATATAGTTGCATAAATGGTTTCTATAAGGATTAGGCCCCACAAAATACACAGGAAAAAAGAATAACCAATAGGAGATTAAGAACAAGGATTTACTGCTACAAAACTTAATTCTAAAATTGATTAAACAAAGCAATCGAAATACCCTTACTTATACTAATTCTAAAAGAGACATACTCAAACTCTAAAACTATAAAATAAAACTTAAATATGGAACTTTCCTAAAATACCCTTGGTTTAATATCCGATTAACTCAACAATCACCCCCTTAATCGGATTTGTCATAAGTGTCACTCGTCGTTCAAAACAATGTCGATTCCTCTTCGATTAGACGTGCATCTTCTTTTTCCCATTTAGGACACTCATTTTTATAGTGACCAAGCTCACCACATTTGTAACATCTAACGTGAATTTTATCACGGACACGTTCATTACCATCTCGACTTCTCCCAGACTCCCGACCACTTCCTCGACTACGTCCAAAGTCATTCCGATTTGAACGTCCATTGTCACAATGCTTATAAACATGTGACTTTTCCTGACTAGCCAACAACAACCCACCTTGAATATCCTCCATTTTCTTGGTTCCTCTTATACGCTCCTCGTATGCCTTCAATCTACCAACTGCTTCATCGAATAACATCGAATCCAACTCGAAACATTGCACTATTGAAGCCACGATTTGAAGAAACGACTTAGGAATCGAATCAAATAACCTTTTCACCAAATCAACTTCTTCAAGCTCGTAACCAAGACTCCTTACGTTTTACGTTAAACGGGATAATTTTGTTACAAAATCATCAACAGTTTCACCTTCCTTCATACGTAAACTTTCAAGGTCCCTTTTTAAGGTTGCATGTCGAGCCGTTCTCACCTGAACCACTCCCAAATACCGTGTTTTTAGCCCATCCCACACTTGCTTTAGGTCGGTATAACTCGCCTTTTGCAACAACATATCTTCGGGTATCGCTTGAAACAAAAAGGCAAGAGCTTGTTTTGACTTCTTTTGATCCGATGCTTCACCTGACGCCTTTGGTTCGACCGTCTCCTATATGTCGTTTACATCCATAATCGACTTGACTTTGACTGCCCACACCGTATAATTCATTGGAGTCAAAACCAAAACTTGATATGTCATCGAACCTCCTTATTTAACCAACAACATCCTTTTCTAATCATGCTTGTTCCGAGAGTACTCTTCTACCGGACAACAAGACAAGGTCACAGCCACCTTTACTGTCTTCCGTCACCCGCAAAACGAACCGAATCAAAGCTATCCGTTTTGACGTTTTCTCGTCTGTTTATTTCGCGCCTCCGGTTAGTCTCTCACAAGCCCGATTAAAAGAAATCGGGTGTTGTATAAGATTTACAGAATTCACCTTGAAGATATCTTGTATTTCACATTCTTTATTTATACATAGATATACAATAAAGTAACAAACTCATACTAAAATACAGGAGATAACAACTATCATGTATTATCTCAATTATCTCTAAGACCCCCCCCCCCCCCCCCCCCTTCAAGCGCAGAGGTGGTGGCCCAACACGGAGCTTGTCTCTGAATGATTCAAATAAAAGGCGTGGAAGACTTTTGGTGAAGATATCAGCAAGTTGTAAGGATGTAGGAACAAAGCGGGTGTATAGTTGTCCAGAAGCCACTAATTCACGAACAAAATGGGAATCAATATCAATGTGTTTTGCCCTTTTGTGTGAGATAGAATTTTGACTGAGAAACAAAGTACTTTTGTTGTCACACAAAAGTGTTGGTCAATTAGGAGGTAACGCATTAAGTTCACGCAATAGATGAGTGATCCACACAATTTCAACTGCAGTGTTTGCTATGGCCCGATATTTCAATTCACAACTTGATCTCGACATTGTTGGTTGCTTTTTGGTACTCCAGGAAACTAAATTACCACCAAGAAAAATAGAATAACCATAGGTAGAACAACGAGTCTCAATGCAACGTGCCCAATCCGCATCAGAGTAACTAATAAGTGAGGGTGAGTGTGGACAATTGAAATCCAAGCCATAAGAGAGAGTGCCCTTGACATATCATAAAATACGTTTAACTGCCTGAAAGTGATCAATTGTGGATGCATGAAGAAATTGACTGACTTGGTTCACGGCATAGGACAAGTCCGGACGAGTAATAGTCAAGTATTGCAACGCACCAACTAATGAACGATATGTTGATGGATCCAAGCATAAAGAACCGGTGGAGATGAAAGAATCTGTTGTGGATAAAGAAGTAGAGGCAGGTTTAGATTCTAAGAGGCCAGCACGTTGAAGAATGTCATATGCATATTTGGCTTGATTGAGAAACAAACCATTATCTGTGTAGGAAACCTCAAGACCTAGAAAATAGTTTAATTTCCCAAGGTCTTTAACAGCGAATTTAGCATGGATTTTGGAGATAAATTTGGTAATATGAAAAGAGTTATTTCCCGTCAGAATGATGTCATCTACGTATACCAGTAAATATAGAATTTGAGAATCACGTTTGAACATAAATAGGGATGTATCAACTCTACTACATATGAATCCAAGACTGCTAAGAAACAAGCTTAGTCGTTGAAACCATGTGTGGGGTGCCTGTTTGATACCATATAGTGCTTTCTTTAGTCGGCAAACATGATGAGGAAAATGTGGATCAGCGAAACCTGGAGGTTGTTCTATAAAGACTGTATCAGTTAGCTGTCCATTTAGGAAGGCATTATTTACATCTAATTGGTGTAAGGGCCATCTGTGCATCACAGCTAAAGATAGAACTATACGAACACTAGCAGCTTTGACTACAGGGCTGAAAGTGTGAGTGTAGTCAATCCCAGGAAGTTGATTGAAACCTTGTGCAACCAAGCGAGCTTTGAGACGTTGTACTGTTCCGTCTGAGTTGTATTTGGTACGATAAACCCATTTGGAACCAACAATGTTTGAGGTACTTGGGCGAGGGACCAAGTCCCAAGTATTATTGGAGCGTAAAGCTTGCATTTCGTCTTCCATGGCGGATAACCAAGCGAGATTCTTAGCAGCAGATTTAAACCCACATGGTTCTTTAGTATCAAATAAAGCTTGATGCAATGGAGATTTTTCAAGAGAAGCTAGATCAAGCAGATGCCTTGGTTTAAAAATTCCTACTTTGGACCGGGTGATCATAGGATGAACTGATGAAGAGGGCTGAGTTGATGCACCCGTGAATGTAGGTGAAGCAGGAGAAACCGGAGACTGCGAAGCTGTTGGAGAAGGCTGTGCAGCAGCATCTGCTGTTGGCGAGGGCTGCTCAACAGCATTCGTTGACAAGGATTGATCAATATCAACCGATGACGATGGCTGAACAGGAGGAACAGTAGTGGAAATTTCAGGTGCGTGACATAAAGAACATGGAGAGACAGTTGCTGATGTTGAAGAAGTGGATAAGGCATCCGATGTTTGGTGTGGAGGAGATAAGGATGCCAAGTCTTCAAATTTTGAAAAAACCAATGTTGCCAGATCAGATTTAGATGTGATGTCACTGAAAGGAAAATTTTGCTCATCAAAAACAGTATGACAAGTGGTGTAAATGCGAGTTGATGATGGGTCTAAGCAACGATATCCCTTGTACTGAGAACTATCCGATAAAAACGCATGAGATGCTTCGAGGTGCCAACTTGTTGGTAGAGTAGTTGCGTAAGTAAGGGAAAACTCGACACCCAAATGCCTTGAAAAC